ATCATTACTGAAGAAATTTCCATGTTCTTGCTGTTAATTCTTGGACATATTCAGAACATGGTGACTAGATGAAGTCAGGAGAGGGGATAGACCAGTCACTATTAGACTTTAAGATAAGGAATAGGCTGTTTTCTACTTGGGAAATGTGAAAACTGTGGCTTCATATTGATAGAAGGCTGAGTCCGCGGTCTAGACAGTAGCCATTAGGAGGAACTGTGGGATAAAGTGTGGTGGGATGGAAATATTTTCTTTTTATTGAAAAGTGATGAGCAGAGGTTAGTTACATAAGGGGTTACAGGGGTTACATTTACGTAAGTAAGGTCATGAGTACATTTGTTTTTAATTATTGTTACCACATTCCTAATTATTCCTCACTTACTCTTTCCCTCTCTCCCAAGTTGTAAAGTTCTTATATTACAGTGTCAAGTATGTTTCAATGTTACCTTGGTTCATCTTTTGTCCTGCAATTTCTATGATTCCCTTTCCCTTCCACATATTTAATGGTCTTACATACAGAACACATACCAAAAACGAGAAAATAACAACAACAAAACTACATGCAGTACATAGTAATAACTTCTTATTTCTATATATTCTTATTTCTATATATTGGAACTCATGTTGATAGGCTTCATTATATGTGAAGCACAACACAATTGGGTTATTGGGAAGCCCTGTTAACAATATCGTGGGCACAGTGGTGAGAGGTATAACCGCGGGGCTTGTAGGGGAAGTCTTACAGTGGGCACTGTAAGAAATGGGGAATACCAGTTCAGCCCTGCGAAGTCTCCAGATTCCCGGAGTGCTGGATCCCTACTTGAACACCGGGTTTGTGCGGGTTGGGACATCACGGCGGCAGAGCAGCCGTCTGGGGTCTGCTGGGTGATCCAGGGAAGTCCTGAGGGTAGAGCAGAGCCCGCCCCGCCCCGCCCACCTGCACACGAGCGAAGGCACCCATCTCTTCTTGCCCTTTCAGTGGCCTGGACTGTGCGTGTCTTTCTTTTCTGTCGAGAAACGGCGTGATGCGAGGGTTTTGTGCGGCAGCTTTCTGGGTGTGGAAAGGGGAGAAGGTGGCCATGGGCATCCTCAAGGGAAAGAGGGCGACAATGAACAGAAATCCCTCCCCCGCAGGCAGAGGTGGCATTTGGGGGTCAAGAAGTGTGAGGATTGCAGGGCGAGGTGATTGTGCACCTCCCTGGGCTCTGCGGGGGATTTGGCTTCATTTCATTGGATCAGGGTGCTGAGCATCAGCACCCTTCCCCCCCTCACCCCACATGTATTGACCAGCACGGTTCTAGTCATGCCCTTCCTGTGTCCCGGATGCAGTGTTTCCCGTTCTCAATGTGTGGAGTAAGACAGACAGGAGGTTTGTGAGCGGCAGCTTCCCGGCGGCAGAAGGTGGGGAAGATCGTAGAGCCCCTCCCCCACCCAGAAAGTGCAACATTTGAATGTGCTAAATTACTAGGTCCCCGGATGTAAAGTTTACAAAGAACAATAGAATGCCCGCTGAAAGGCGCGGCTTCATTTCATTGGATACAGAGTGTCGAGCCTGGCCAATCACAAAGGAGAGAACGTGAGAGGTTGCAAAAGCCCTGCCCTCCACAGGCAGGAGCGGCGCCATTAGCAGCAGGTTCTGTTTGGCCGTGGGACGGATAGTAGACGAAAAGTCGCTTTGGTTGTTTCCTAACACCGGTGTCAAGACTCAGAGTGAGGTGAGAGTTTCTGTGGAGAGGACAGTGACTCGGAGAGCGGTGGGTGGGGAGACGGGGCCTTCGTCTGCGGCCAGAGGATCTCCCACAGGAGGGCTTTGCGCCGTGTCCATGCCGGACTTCTGAGCTTGGGAAGCAATGGAGAGGGCAGAGGGCAGAGGGCAGAGGGCGTAGGGTGCAGGGCAGATGTGGATGGTGTCCCTGCACACAAAAGGGAGGCTGGGCCGCTCATGGCCTGCTGTGTATTGATGGGAAGCGGGAGGCAGCAAGGGCTCTTCCTGTCGTCCATGAGAGCAGTGCGAGCGAGGTGCCGCTCGGCGACCTTGAGAGTGGACGGACCGTGGAGAAGAGGCGCAGAGAGACTTCTTGCCCTTCGCCAACGGGGTGGGGGGCGGTGGGCCAACCTTCCATGTGGCTGCCATTGCCTGTGACGAGGACTAGCTGTGGGGAGACTGTGGCGATAGGGCGGGAAGCCCCCACCCAGCTTCATGGGGAGCCGGGTCCCTGTGAGATTGCCAGCATCTGTCCCTCAGCTCTTCAGCTTAAAGTGAGGGTGCTCTACCACTTGAGACATAACACCACTTCTGATTTTCTGGTGGTTTATTGGAGATTAGAGTTTCACAGACTTTCCTGCCTGGGATGCCTGTGAATGGTGATCCTCAGATGTAAGCCCCCTGAGTACCTAGGATTACAGCTGTGATCCGCCAGCGCCCGGCTTAGGATCTTTTTTTTTTTTTTTGACTTCCAACTTTGGAGACTGAGGAAACGGAAACTTTCTTAGTGTGCTCTTGCCCTTCTAGGAATTCAGATAAGAAAATTTATAAAGACATATTATACTCATGTATTGAAATATGGAATTGAAATCTTTTTGCAAAACTACTTAACATTAAAAAATTAAATGGTATAAATATCCATTTATGTATGCAAACCTGTGCATATATTTCTATGGGCATATGTACACATACATATCAATACACAGAGACATGTGTGTCTATATACACATTTGTTTATATACATATACATTATCTCCACCCTTCATTTCTCTTTTCCTTTGATGGAAAGGAAGAATCCTAGTGCTTCTTTCTGTTCCCAGTTCTCAGTCCTGGAAGGAAGCAAGGTAGAGTGGACAAATGGGAAGGAGCCCTCACTTCTGCTACAGGCTCTTCTAGGTGTGATAATGATGGACATTGGTGTTGGAATGGAGCAATTCTGATCAGTAGATATTGGGACAGGCCTTGCTAACAATTAGATGTACATCTTGATTTGAGGTTTTGTTTATCCCCTAGCCATGGAAGGAATGAACTGATTTAATATTCTTTTTTATGTATGGATTACCCCAGCAAACTGAAAAAAAGCCTTCTTGGTTTGGAATACCACCAGAGTAAGGATTTTCAGCCCAGTATCAAGGTAAGGAGTTAAAGACACACTAATAAAACCAGCTACTTAAAATAGAATGGGTCCAAGGAACACATCAGTTTGTTCCTAACCTCTGGTCTGGGAGGGTCTGGGTGAGAATGTCCAGAGGTAATGTTTCTTTTTCCTCTTGAGGGTAGTGCTGGTATGTCTGGGATGTGACCTCTTAATTGGAAGGGACAAAAGTAGAACATCAGGATAGACTGTCTTTGTGTTCAGTAAAGGAAAATATTCATGCCTGACTGAGGATGTCTTCCCAGGTGAACTGATGGGCCCTAGCACTAGGTAAGAGTGGATGTGTTGTATCGATTCAATATTTTTCTTGTAATATCTCTTAGGAACATTATAGCTTTGGCCTGCATCCAAGGAAGCAGTATAACAAGGAGTTCAAAGCTTCATCAGGTGTCAAGGTAAGGTTTCTACTGATATCAAAATATCAGTTCACTAGGCACGTTCTGGTTTTGAGAGACTCAAGATGAAAAGGAGGACAGAGAACTGAGGGAATCCCTATTGCAATCCAGTAAGACACCAGCCTGTGATGCTAACTTTGGCAGGCCCAGGGTCAGTTAATCAGCTATTGTGCCTCCTGAAATATGTATGTGTTCCTAGAGAGGTGGACCTCAGTCTGAAGAGTATCCAGTCTGAGGAGGATCACACCAGTTCATCAGAAGAAGAGTGTGGGACTGTGCAAGGAGTTACAGTAAGGAACATAAGGGAGGGCTGAGGACACAATCCCTGTTTCTTGAATGGCATATCCAGCTCAATTTTGGCCCTCATCTCTTGGAGGCCCAGGGTAATAAGAGTGGCAAGATACATTGCATCATGCAATTCTTGTGGTCTTACTGTAGTCTTCACTACTACTACTGGTTTATAAGAGGCACACCAAGGCCAACAGAGGGAGAAGGCTCTGTCTCTTTATGTTTAAGTTTGAGAAAAAAGTGATTTCTTATCTAGAACTAGGGGGATCCCTATAGTATTATTCAGTATATTATTCAGGTTTGAAGTTCTCCCCAGTAAGTCCTTGACTGATGTTGTGTAGGTGTTGGTCCTGTACTGCCTTCATTTATCTTATTTCCCCAGTCTAGCTGATGGGTCCACTCTGGACCTTGCTAAAGGAGAGGGGAAAAAGACGTCATTGTGCACATTAGACTGCACAGTCTGGCTGTGTGGTTATTTCAGAGGCTCCAAGGATTGGCTTGTAGTCTTGAGCTTGGGAGGTGCCTCTAAATTCTTACTGGAATTGAAGTTGAAGGAATTGACTTTGTCTCATACCCTCACACTAGAGTGCAGAGAAATCCTAAGAAGCATGACGCACCCATTTTGAATGTATAGAAGGGCATTGTGTCCCCTGTACTGAAGGGACCCAAGGAAAGCAATGGGCTCAGCTCCTCAGACTGGACCTTGAGATGCTTTCCCATGTGCTTTTGTAGTTTCCTAGAGGACAGGCAAACTAGAAGTTCAGCAGATTTTGTGAGGCTGTGGAGCATCTCCAGAGACCTGTAAGTGGATTTTTGTCAGAGTTATGGGTCAGTTCTTCAGCTGAGGCCTCTCATTGTCTCCCTCCCCCAGGTCTGTGGGATCTCCTTACTACACTCTTGCTGCCACTGCTAGTAAGCCTCATCATGTTTCGGCCTTCAAAATACCCAAGACTGGAACTTGAGGAAATCTCTGAAGATGGATTTGGTACTGAATACCTGTTGATCGAGGAGAATCCCCCTCTTGTGGAGCAAGAGATCGAGATAGAGGCAGAGGTAGTAGATGTACAAGAGGGGATGGAATGTGAACACCATCATCTCCCCTGCCCCTTTCAATGTCTATCAGTCATCCTCTTCTTACCCCACCATCTTTGCTTCCTTTTTCTCTTTGGTTGATGACACCATGAAGGAGGAAGAGGAGGAAGAGTTGGAGGAGCTTGAGAAGGTGGAATTGCTGGAGGAGGAGGTGGTGGTGGAAGAATTGGAAGATCAGGAGGTGGTGGAAGTGGCTGAGGAGCAGGAGTTGGAAGTACTGGAGGAGGAGGAGGTGGAAGAGGTGGAGGAGCAGGAGGAAATGGAAGAAAGAGAGAAGCAGGAAGAGGTGGAAGAGGCAGAAGAGCAGGGGGTGGAGGAAAAGGAGGAGGAGGATGATGGAGAAGGGCCATCTTCCAGTGTTCTTCCTTGGCCCAACCATACTCGGCGCAATAACTTGTCTTGCACCTTATGGAGCAACATATATGGATCGAATGACCCAGAAGATGAGAGTCCGCTCATCTTTCCGCCTCCAATAGAGAGTGAAGATCTGGCCCCTGAGCCTTTGGGGGATCAGATCACTGAATTGGTGCACACCTTGATCTTCAAGCATGGGATTAAGGAGCCCATCACAAAAGAAGAAATGGTTGAGTTAGTCACCAAGGAGTATGAAGAGCTTCTCCCTACCATCTTGGAGAAAGCAACTTCATGCTTGGAGGTGATTTTTGGCATTGATGTAAAGGAAATGGACAGCAATACCTATGTCCTTGTCAACTCACTGGGCCTTACCTTTGAAGATAAGTTGAATGATGCCCAGACAATGCCTAGAAATGGGCTCCTGATCATGCTTCTTGGGGTGATATTTTTGGAAGAAAACTGTGCTCCTGAAGAGAAAGTATGGGCGTTTCTGAATATGGTTGGAGTGTATGCTGGGCAGGAGCACTTCATCTATGGGGAGCCTAGAAAGTTCATCACTATCGACTTGGTGCAGGAAAACTATGTGGAGTATCGCCGGGTACTCTACAGTGATCCACCACGCTTTGAGTTCCTGTGGGGGCCAAGAGCCCTGGCTGAAACCACCAAGATGAAGGTTCTAGAATTTATGGCCAAGGCCAAAGGGACTGATATATTTTCCTTCTCTGATTGGTATGAAGAGGCTTTAAGAGATGAGCATAATGACCATTTTGAAAGTGATCATGCAGATGGTAATAATCCCCTTTTTGTCACAGACCATTTGGAATCCATGCCTCTTGGTTCATATGAAGATGCTGAGTTTGAACTTCCTCTGTTTGATTTTGAAGTGGGAAGTGCATATTTTCAATAAGGGAGGGTCCAGGTCAGCCTTCAGTGAGCATAGTAAAACACAACTCTGTGTTCCTCTTGTACATAGTGATTACATGATTTTCCATTTTATGCTGACCCTTTAAATAAAAAAAATTAGCTTTACAATCTGTGTTTATGCCTGATATTGTTCACATGACAAAAAAGACTGAAACTTGTGACATTTCATGTATCATTGAAGAATTTGTATTTTCATCAACTGACAGAAATAAAACAAAATAAGAATTAAAGCCTTCCTAATGGCTGTACAAGTTTCTGACTCTCCCATCTCTCTCTCTCTCTCTCTCTAACATTCTGCTTCTTCATCTTTTAATCATACCTTCAAAATTTGTGGTATAACAGTTACAAGTGCATCAGTTGTTTCCTTTGGGTCATAATTAATTCTTGAGGTTTCTGTCTTTGTGAATGAATTTACCACCCTTATACATGGGTTTGTGGTGACGTTGAAAGGAGAACTGTTCTTCTGTGTCCCTTTGTAATGCGCCCTTCCCCTTTGATTAGATATAGACATGGGTTTTTGTCAGTGAAGAAGAGAACATCTTTAAATATCAGTCCTTCTAGTTTATTGGTCATGGGCTACTCACCTACAGAAAATAATGTGAACAAAATTCTGATATTAAAAAATTACTTAGTATTTTGATATTTCCTTTTAGCAACAGAAATGATGATATCCCCTCAAGTGTCTACCTAGAACTTCAGTTTGAAAAGTGTTGTTTAGAGTGATCTGTACTCGATTGAAATGGAAAAGCCTCAATTCATATTACATCCTAATTTTTACTTCCTGTGAATGTAACCTTTTAGGGATAGAGAATGGTTTTCAAATAGGGTCTCTGGCTACCTTTGCCTGGGGCCTGTGTTGGATCACATCTCCTGCCTGAGCTTCCCAAGAAGCTGGATTAAAGGCACTTGCCACCATCCTAGGTTCCAGAAATTGCTCTTTTATATGTAGTTCTGTTAAAAATCTAGAGAAGATACTATAAAGCCATAGTAATCAAAACAGCTTGGTATTGGCATAAGAACAGACCTCAGGACCAATGGAATAGAATTGAAAACCCAGAAATGAACCTATGGAACTATAGCCATCTAATCTTCGATAAGGAAGCTAAAACAATAGAATGGAAGAAAGACAGCCTCTTCAGTAAATGGTGCTGGCAAAATTGGTTAACTACATGTAGAAAACTAAAGCTAGATCCTTATATATCTCCCTGCACCAGAATCAACTCCAAATGGATCAAAGACCTTGAACTCAAAGCAGACACTCTGAAAACATTACAGGATGGAATAGGAGAAACCCTAGGTCTCCTTGGCTCAGGCCGAAATTTTCTGAATAGAGACCCGGAAACACAACAAATCAAAGAAAGGTTGGACAAATGGGATTGCATAAGGTTGCAGAGCTTCTGCAGGGCAAATGACATAGCTAGCAAGATTAATAGAAAGCCCATGGATTGGGAGAAGATCTTTACTAGCCATACAACGGACAAGGGTCTCATATCTAAAATATACTTGGAACTCAAAAAATTAAACCCCCCAACAACAAATCCTCAAAGAAACAACTGCCCAATAAATAAGTGGGCGAAAGACTTAAAGAGAAGCTTCTCTGAAGAAGAGAGAAGGATGGCCAATAGACACATGAAGAAATGTTCAACATCCCTAGCCATAAAAGAAATGCAAATCAAAACAACATTGAGATATCACCTCACTCCAGTTAGAACAGCAAAAATCAAGAACTCTAATAACAACAGATGCTGGAGGGGATGTGGACAGAAAGGAACCTTACTTCATTGTTGGTGGGAATGTAAACTTGTTCAACCACTTTGGAAAGCAGTATGGAGGTTCCTCAAAAGACTTCACATAGAACTCCCCTATGACCCAGCAATCCCACTTTTGGGCATTTACCCTAATGTTTACAAAAAAGACCACACTAAAGCTACCAGCACAACTATGGTTATTGCAGCATTATTTACCATAGCTAAGATATGGAACCAACCCAGATGCCCTTCAGTAGATGAGTGGATCAAGAAAATGTGATATATCAATGGAATTCTATGCCTCCATCAGAAAGAATGACATTTCCCCATTTGTTAGGAAATGGAAAGGCTTGGAAAAAATTATATTAAGTGAAGTAAGCCAGGCCCAAAGAAACATAGGTCCCATGGTTTCCCTTATTTGCAATATCTAGTATAGGTATGAGTCAAGCGGAAAAGGTCAGATAATGTGATGTTAGGAAAACGAACCCTTAAATATGTATTTTAATGTTTTTGTTTCTTTCATGCATGTGTTTCTAACGCATTTATAAGATTATTTCTTTGTTGCTTTGTATGTCCCTCCCCCACAGTGTAACCTCCGCTTTCACTGTATTTGATGTCAGTATAACATGTGGAGGAGATGGGGACAAACAAGTCGTTTAAGGATTCAGGTGGACCTGTTGCAACAATGAGAAGTACAAAATGTCATGTCAAAACCAGCTTTACAATGTCGGTGGGGGGGAGGGAGGGGGGGGTATGATTGGGTGGGGGGGAGGGGGAAGGCTGGGAAGGGAGGTGAAGGGTAAACAAAGGAGGAGGCTGCAATGCTTGGTAAGAAATGTATGCATTATCCTGCCCATGTAATTGTAACCCCTCTGTACAGTATGTTCTCAAATAAAATAAAATTAAATTAAAAAAAAAAATCTAGAGAAGAAACCAGACAGTGGATCATGTCTGTAATCATATCTTCTAAAGACTCAACAATCAGAGTTGAGTGGCACGATGTTACAAGACCCCATCTCAATAAAAAGCTGGCCACAGTAGTTCATGTCTATCGTCCTATGTATATGAGAGTGTAAATAGGAAAATCCCAATCAAGTCTCCCAGAACATGAATGAGAGTTGATTTTGACTTGAATTAAGAGTACAGCCTAGGAAGGCTAGGTTGGATGAGGTGGGTGTAGGCCATGCAGATTTGAAATCTTGAGCCATATCTAGGTGATGTCCAGTGAACCTTGGGAAGCATGGGTTTGACTACTGATAGAGGATCTTGGCTGGAGACTGTTAATCTGCATTAAAAAGAATCATCTGAGGCTAATTTAGAGGGACATTGACTATTATATACAAAATGCTCTATGTGCTATAGGAAGTTTTCTCATTCCCCCCAAAATACAGTAAGAATAAAAGGTACCATAAAAGTTAATAAATCCAGAGATGCCTTTAAAATGAGAAAATATACACAAATCCCCTAGAAAGTGGCCGAAGAAAACAGCACAAACTCAAGGATAATTGACAAATTGTCACTAATATTCACAATATAAACCATAGATAGAGAATTTCTAATACTAATATATAGAGACAAAGTGGCAAAGAAGATGCAAAATGGGAAAAGTACACGTATAAGCATTTCATACATGCACCACACATATACCGAAATGATCTCAACAGTTTGAAAATTAGTTTAATACTATTAAAGCAAGAGAAATGAAAAAAAGTCTGTCTTGAGAAATTGAAATGGATCAATAATTGACATGGATTGTAGAATTAGCAGACAGGATATTAAAATAAAATGGTTATATAACTTCACTCCAGTGGCTGCAGAAGCTATAAAAAGATCCAGTAGACTTCTAGTTCCAGACATGATTGAATAAGTGCATTAATCGCAAATACTCTACCTTAAACATTCAAACATAGCACACAAAAATTCATAGGGAGACTCTGAAAGGTAGAAGGCCGATTGCCTAGAGGTCTTAAGATTTGAGTAATGACTGCTGTGAGTGTGAACTTCTGTTATTGTTAAATTCTGTATTGTCATGATATCGAGGATACTTGGGAACATGCTGCATACAATTCTAACCCTGAACGTTAGGAATCAGAGTTTTCACAAAGAGTTCCAGGTAAAGTCTATAGATTTGGAAAAGATTTTCTAACAGAAAATGATTTTTTAAATTATTGTACAGAGGGGTTACAGTTACATGAGCAAGGTAATGAATACACTTCTTATCCAGCATTTTTGCCTCCTCCTTTGTTTTTCCCCTACCATCCCTTCCCTCCCACCTCCTCAGCTACCCCCCACCCACCTCAATTGTAAAGTTTGTTTTCTACATAGAGTCTTGTACATCTCATTGTTGCAATGTGTCCACCTGTATCCCTATGTAAACAATTTGTTTTTACCCTTCCCCTCCCCAAATTATACCAACATCAACTACAGTAAAAACAGGGATTATACCATGGAGGAGGGACATACAACATGACAAAAAAATCACATGGTACCTTATAAATATGTTAGAAACAATAGCAAGAAAGAAGAAACAACTTATGTCCTTATCTTTCTTATGCTAGCCTACCACTAATAGATTACAAATCTTACTCACCCTGTACTTCCTACCACTTTATCAGGGTTGATTAGGGATTTGATTTTTCCTTTTCGGGTGAAATGAAAGTAGTAATGCTAGACTAATTTTGGAAGGATTTAGCAGGGTGTTTGCTTTCCATTCCACACAGTAGTGTAAATTGAATAAGCAGAGAACTGACTTTCTGTACATTTGGATTACATTAGTTACATTCAAACACCACCAACCAGGCAGGCCTTGAGGCTGAGATGGAATCAGAGGATTGGAAGTAAGAAGCAACCAGTGATCAATGAGTTCTGATGCACCTATCCAATGGTCAGCTGGAAGACTACCAACATAGTCAGACGTAGAGATAGAGTGTCTTGACTTGTGCTAAGCAGCTAGTGATCTCACAGTGACCACAGAAGTCATTTCTTAGCCTGGGTGCCACTTCAGAAATGAAAGAATCTATCCTTTACTGATAAAAATCTCAGATTACAGTGATCAGTTTATATGAGCTGTCTGCAAGCAACCTGCAGCATGACACACATTGGGGCTTAAACCATAGCTGGGGAACTTGGAGCTTGAAGAAGAATTGGTTGTCATGGATGACTGGGTTGCTCAACTGCAGTGTTTGGGTGGGAAACTGCTGCTGAAAGCCAACATGGAGACAGAGAGATTTTGAGT